GTTTAAGACTTACGCAGTCAAACTGGTCACTGTTCATTTTTAATAAGATGGAGATTTATCCGAAGTTCGTGTTTACTATAGTTATTTATTCGATTGTATACTTCTGTCAAGTCTGTGACTTAGTGACTCAAACACTTCATTTTCCAGTCATTAATCTTCTGCTTCTACCTACTCTAGTATGAGGAGCTGAGGAACTCTAACAAGCCCTCTCTCGCGCACACATCCAAAGACTTAAATTCAAATGCATGAATTTGTATTTGTCTTTAAAGTATAATCAAATACATTATAAATGAACTGCTTTTAAAAGATAATTCATGAGTGACATATACATACAACATATGTATGCATAAATATGTATGTATGTATGTCTATATCTTCATTCTCATTGGGCAATTACTATTCGACCAATACGTGTACTTTTCGTTGTTTTCTTTCATTCAATTTTATTCGACCCTTTTCTTATCCTTTTGTTTTACTTCTATGATCTAATGTCTTACTCTTGTTTTGGTTTTCCTTCTGTTTATAAACTTTAGACCTAGTTAGTTCTCAAAAATACAATGAATACAGTGAATATTCTTTTCCTGTTCATATAGTATGATAAAGTAGCCATCGGCCAGTATATAACGTTTTCTTGGATTACAATATAATATACGCGAGTTAATTCATAGTACAAATCCACTTTTCAGCTGCGTAATTAGATCGAAAGTAATCGGATTTCCCCATTTTGAATGTACCGAGAAATAAAATATCAACCTACATTATACCATGTATACTACATTCTACACTTTGATACCTCAAGTGCTCTCAAATACCACTCAAAACTTGATATCAATTTTCTCCGTACTTATTGGTGTTAAATCTGAAGAAAAAATGTTTTGCATTAGATCATCATACAGTAATAAGAGATGTTTTCTAAAGGTGTATTATATCCTAGGTTTATATATATTCAATTATGGATATTTAAGCCTAGTCAAGAAGTGAAGCATTGGCTTAGCGTTTTTAAGTTTAATTTTTATATTTCAACCGTGTTACACCTTAGTTTGTGTGACCAATTGGTTAATATCTCCTAAAATTCACCACTCAAAGTTAAGTACATAAACATGTAATCGTTAGGTAAATTAGATTAGAAACTGTTGAGAAAAACAAACCAGTTGATGACATTGTTAGTGCACACCAAATAAAATGATGGGGTAATTTGTTATGTTTTACAAATCATCGTGTACTTTAGGATTCAGCAGTTAGTAAAATCGTAATTGTAAATAGATAAGACTGAAACATATTCCCAGTTCGTGGTTTCCGTGGCTAACACTCTCGATCAGATAAATTGCCTATTTATTACTCGATCAGTTCGGTAAAGTTTGAAGATACTTCTACAAAATCATCATCATATACCTTATTCCTTCCTACGTAATTAGTATATTCAGTTTGGTCAATGGACTAGAGTACTAAAACGCAAGCTGTACAGCAGATTATTAACAATGTGATTCACAAATAATGACTTTTTTCTTTATAATAATAGTCGGTCGCCGAGATTTAATTAGTTCTAGTTAATGTTTCTGATTCTCCCCCTGATGTTTTATATTTCTTTAATCTTTCCGTATTAAACATAAATAATTGAAATACGATACGTAATCCTATTTTTTATTAAGAAATTATCTTACTTGCCTAGAAGTCAACATAATTTAAACAACAAACAGTGAATGGTCAAGTATCATCGATCAAAGATGATCAATTTGTCTTTTATAATGTCGCATTGCAGACAACAGTGCTGATGACAATGTACCTTAGTTGTCAATTTGTTAAATTTCTGAAACACTAAACGTAATACCGACCAATGAACGCGCGTCTATTATTCAGTTAATTCAGTAATTTACAGAAAGATCTTCAATTCGATCATTTCCATTATTCATAGATAATAACTCGTAAATTACTGGGAACTAGAAAACACTGAACAGTTTTTCTTGTCCCTGTTTGAGACAGGTTATCGGAACAAACCATCTGTTCAATGTTCCACGATTTTCACTGTCCCAATGAATGATTTCAACGCATCCTGAAAAGTACAAAATTAAACGAGTTTCTACAAACCAACTTGATCATATATGTATATTGTTTGTCGTTTTGATATGACTAATTCGTTTAAACATAATATCTGTCTTAACTAGCTATTATTACTATTCAATGAGTATTCAATCAATACGGAATTTTTGTGTCGTAACTAAGCCTAAAGCCCGCATTAGAAAGTACTTTGTTATTTTATTTTATGAATAAATACTGTTTAGTATTCTTTCTTCTATTTGTTATTACATCAAAAACTTGAAAATATGTCTTAACTACTTTGGTTGACTTCATTAGCATATTACGTATATATATATATATATATATATATATATATATATATATATCCACGCATCATATGACTACTATACTAACGTTTAGAAAGACATTATATAGATTGGTGGTAATATGAAATGTATTCTGTAATTATTATGTATCATCTCTCATGTTTTAACATAGGAGAAGTATAGTAAAAATACATTTATGTGTGACTGTTAGTGACACAATTTGGTTGTGCAAATTGTAGTAGGTGATATATGTTTCAGACTTGTCACCTACGGGTAAAAATTTGAATTCCCTACTAGTTAATCCACCTCTCCACTTGAGTTAATAAAAAACCTTTCAATTAGTAAAATGTCAGTTGGTAAATGTGTCATCTTGCTTACTTTTCACTGATTTGTGTGTATAGGGTTTTTGTCGTGATTCTGTCACTGTCTGAGTAATTCAGTAACAAAGGCACACGCTTTGACTTGTAAGCGTACTGTCAATGAAATTACACGTTTGGTATTATATATGCAAATCAGATCTCTTCCACCCTTAGTCTCTAATTCTCATAAAATGTGTAAATAAGGCATCAGTCAACCTGAAATACATCATACGCATTTGTGTTTTTGACAAATTAAGTACATTACATGAAACATGTTAACATGTTTCATGGCTTACATCCCTAACTGGCACATCAGCTAGACAATCATAGAAAATAAGGGAGCAGTAGAATGCTGTTACTATTTTCATTCTGCGAGCATTTACGAATAAAACCTCGAAACTTGTTAGGTGTACACTATTGAAACTAATGAAGGTCGAGTTTTACGTGTAAATTATTTTTCATTTTGTTAGTGAAACTATTTCTACTTTGTTTTCGGTTTCCTAGATCAACTCTTTCTAACGTTAGTAATATTAGAGCATTAAATAATTTTTCCAATCTGTTTCACTCAGTCTCATAGCGTCTTAGGTATTTGGTAATGAATTCCCTGAGAAGCTAACAAATAGTAGCCACCTGTTGCATAAACCCTAGTTCTGCAGGATGTCAGTGAAAGGTTTCCTGTAGATGACCTCGAACCACGTAAATATCAATGGAAAGTGATTTGGTTTGAAGAAACCAAAGGCTTATTGTTATTGTTACATATCAGATATACTCACTTAAAAGTTATCTTCATTAAAAAACGTATTTTATACGTATTGGGTCGTTGAAAACTGAAAATGTGCAGATGATTATATACGCATATTTCTGAACTTTTTTTAAATGTTCAGTTGACGAGAATATTGATTAGCATAATAATATGGTGTTCACTTTTGTTAATATGGCTAAATCTAGACTTAACGATGTTCATTTTCTTCTCGCTTGTCAGGAAGCAGCGCCTGTTAATGAAGTGTTTTGTATATTTGGTTCATACTTCTTTTTGATTCAGTAAAATGAGAATATTATTGACTTCGTTCAACTTTTTATCAAGAATAAATCCCTTGATCATCAATCCTAATAAAGTAATCAGAGAATAAATCTAAACAACTGTTTGATTGATTTGCAAGGATTCACTTTTAAGTTATTGTATTAGTCTTCATTGTTGATATTATTACTTTGCAGCAGTAATGGTAGTAGTTCTGTGATATTTTCATATAGTATTGAAATACATGAGTGAAAACCAGCATTGCCCTTCAAAAACCTACTAAAAATCACCTAAGTTCTGCATACAACTCATTTCATTTGTTTAAAATCGCTGCAGACCAAGAGCAGTAAAAGGGGAAGAATACAAATTTTTTGATTCGCCTTTGTTTCTTATAGCCTTAATCAAATTAAAAATAATTGGTTAATAGTCATTTCACGGCAGCACAGTCGATTTGGGACAATATTGGTAATGATTGACGTGAGTAATCTAATCATTTGTTCATACGACATCTCCAAATCTCGGATGTATAAATTTAAATCCATCAGTCAACTTTAAAAGCTTATGTGAATATAGATTCGGAAATTAAAGCTACTAGTTGTCTGCAGTGTACACTCACTCCAAGTAATATGAGCTATAAACTGCTTATCTGTTAAGAGAGGAACAAACCAGAATTATTTTAAATAAAATATAAAACAGCCGGTGATTATTGTTTCATTTGTAATAAATTAACACATTTACTTGGCTTATGGCTGTGTACCCCAATTACAGCGAGAAGTTTTTTGTATGCTGACTAATGGTACGATTCAGCACTTAAGCAGATGGAGCTGGTTTGAACCTATAACCTGATGATTTAAAACCGATTATGGTATCAGCTAGGCCACCATAGTAGTAGGAATCAGACTCATATTTTTTCCAGTTACTCCTAACCACTCATCAATTCATTTCGTTCGAATCGTTTAATAAGTTTCTTAGTTTAGCAATATTGATCAAGTGTAATATTTAGTCTTTGGTAGGTTTGAGTTTAACGTGAAGATACTATGTGTGCTGTAAGGATCAGTGTCTCAGAGAGTTTGGGAAAGAAAAGATTAACGGATGACTCATTAAGCACATAGAATGGGCTTACAATTGATAGTGTAAGTGATTGACAACAATCAGAAATAACACAAGTGTGAGATTAAGAAAGTCTGATAATCGAAACTAGTTGCAGAATAAGGTTTCAAATGAGTTACACAAGTTCACGTTTTATTTGTCCTGATGTGTATTTGTTTACTTTCATTCTAGAAAGATTATTACGAATGGATCAGATGCAAATGACATCATTTTTTCAAGATGAATTGGTCAAGGACTTTTTATTCGATGATGATGATGTAATTGATTCACTAAAAGATTGTTTAGAGTTATTACATAAGAATAAATTAGATACGCCTCCGCCACTGAGTAAGTTATTCTGTTTGCATTTAGTTTGTTTCTGTGAGACTATGTTTGATTAAAGTTGTCAACTCTCATACATGTTTGGTACCGAGCTCTCAACAAAATCGGAAGATTTTGAACTCAAATATATGTTATTTTATAGCTACACTGCCACTAAGGAAAATTCATAGACATCGATCATCTTTCTCACATAAATGTTGTACCAATACGTTCGAACTGAATAGATTCAGTAACCAAATGGGAATCTATTATTTCTTTCTACTTGAAGCACATGATTTTCTTTTTTTGTTTATAATTTTTTTTAAAAAAATCAGTAGTAAACCGATTTTTGACTTCTCTAAGTGTTTTTTTTCTAAGTACCATCTGAATGTGAAGAAAATATCTCACGCAATTTTAATGATTGACAACATGATTGACATCAATGTTTAGGAGTTGACGTTCAGTTCTTCACAAAAGATCCTTCATGAACTACTGTCATATACAGCTTCCATGACAACTACTACTATTACCTCTCCTTTATATATTATCATGTTAATTTTCTATCTTCTCTTACCGACCTAACTTTTATCACTATGAATCGTTATCCATTATTGGTTCCGGATCCTATATTGTCTATGACTGACTGAAATTTCTGTTGGCTAAAACAATGTTATTGTATGTATACGTATTACTTTCAATTACTTTCGATAATTTAGAATGAAACTTTCTTCTCTTCTTTTTTCTTAAATCTTCAATGATCGAAGTTTTAACCGTTTTATTTTAATGATCATTATTATTATAGCAATCCAATCTTCGTACTTTCCTCTCTCTTCCTGTCGTTCAAACTGGCTGGAGCGAAGTTGAGTATTGACGTGAGAATACGAAAACTAAAAGATTACTTACACCGACTACAACCATTCATGTGCTTAATAATTTGATAAACTCAACATAATTTGTTTAGTTTAGTATGTAATATATATTGATTGTTTAATCACTTCATTCATCTATATCATCAAGTCTCAAGTGATGGTGCTGATAGTGATAGGGATGGTTGTATATATATAGGATTGTAATAATCATGTCTAGGACTTTAGTTATTACTTATTTTTTTTAGAAAACACGTTTGTTTACACATATTCTTAACTACACTAAAATTGCAACGGAGAAATTGTGGAGTAATTTACTCTTATCAGTATAGCAACAACATTAACTGTTTAGTGGGATTGTTTAGGCCGTTTAATCAGAACTAATATTAGTTTAAACTCGAGAACATTAACATCTTAGAATGTCAATTTCTGTTTTAGCTTTTCTTCTCAATCTAGTAATAAATTACACGTTTTCGTTTTCGCACTGGACGCTAACAGTTCTGTACTCTTTTTTAACCAGAAGTAAATAGATTAATATTTCTTAGCAGGCCCAAATATGTATAAACTAAACTTCCAGTCTTTACTAGAGTTTCTGCTAATCGTTCGTTTTTCTCTTATTATTTAACGAAAATCATCTAATGGCTGTGATGAAGTGCGGAAATCATTTTCTAAAGTTTTAATTTGAAAGGTTTTTTTAATTATTTGACATGCGTTTATCAGAACGATACTAAATGGGAGCGTGAACGATATTTTTATTATGATGTGACATACGGCTAATGCTAAAAATTCCTAGATGTTGATAGTTTATTTTAATTTTAAATCATACATTTCTGAGTGGTTAGATGGTGACTTCTCGCTGGATGATGTGAATTCAAATCATTGGAGGAGATAAAGTTCTCCACAAATTGGTAATTCTTCTTACTAACGGTTCCTATAATCCTCAAAAAATATGCGTTGGGAAATTTCTAGCAAACACCTACACTCGTCTAAAACCACTGTGTTGTCAAGTCACTAAGATTTTTGAGCTTGTTGAAAAAGTGACTAATAAAATTTAGTTTAGACCGCGGACTAAACAATATGATATTGCTTACTACCACTACTGCTCAGAGGCAATTAATTGTAGTCGTGTATCCTTTCTAGATGCTGCTAAAAGTTTTTCGTATTATCAAAAAATACAATTAATAATGTTCAACCTACATACATACTATGTTAATCGACAAATGACTACTATGGAAAAATAAACATTCATTTTCTCTGTTTCTCAGTTAATATCACTTTGTGACATAAACCAATAGATTTGTACACAATGTACATATTCGTTTTATTTTTAACTACTATTATCAACTGGCAATTCATATATGATTTAACACTAAAATACCAATTAAAATCGGTTCATGATCTCAATCAAAAAACTTAATATTCTCCACAACCCCTATACTGATAATTACTGTGTGCTTTCTAGTGACTAGCTTCGTGAGGGGATTCTCGGAGTTCTATTGAGAAGTCCGTGACCAGTGGAGCTTATCCGTGTCGGGTAAAAACAGGTATCTACCTCAGTACAATGGAAGATGGTCGAGCAATTTCGTGGATTGGTTGAGGTTAGACATTAACACCTTTCGATGCTGGCTCAGTGGTCCAGTAGGTCAAGCGTTCGCGCACGAGACTGAAGGCCCTGGGTTCGATTCCCACCCTCGGAATCGTTGATGCGTACTGTTAAGGAGTCCCACAATAGGACGAAATGACCGTCCAGTGCTTCCAGGTTTTCAATGGTGGTCTTACATCAATCGGTTCATGATCTCAATCAAAAACTTAATAATCTCCACAACCCCTATACTGAAAATATCAGTTGATTGGAAGTTCAATACTTAGGCATAATATCAAAAGCAACCTGTTATTTTTAAATTCTTACATGAAATACCTATCATGTAATTCATATGGACACATTGTCTCTTTATTGTAACTTTTGATATAACAGGAAAAGACTGATAATCTCTAAAGTAAAAACAATCAACAAATTAGGCAGAATGTTGTAGATATATGATTGACTCATATTGTGACACCATTCATGAAAATTCAATTGTTTCTCAGGTAAATTTAAAGTCTTACATAGATGTTAACCACTTTCTAGTTGGTAAATTACCCAGTTAATAGCTGTAAGAGTGCTGTTATGCTTAGATTGTTCTGTTTATTTCAGACATTGTTTTCATTTACAAAATTGTCAATATAAATAAAGAATTGACAAGTGATAACTTTGCCATAAGTATTAGGGAAATTTACTTCATTTCAATTTGTGATATTTGTAAACATTTCTCACACTTACAATTTTGATTTTCAAAAGTTATCAAGTCTTTTATTTTACGTTACTTCAATGTTAGTTAACTTCTGAATACAATTTTTATTGATGTAACTATGTGTTACATTAAAAAGTATAATTTATTTTCACTGTAAAGTTATTGCATCATAAATACAGATAAAAAAAAACTACTATACAAATTCGCATACCGCTGTACAAATTTTAACTGACTGAATAGTTTTAAAGATTCTATTAAGAGTCATCATCTCGATCATAAGCAAACATTTTTCTTCTGAAATTAGCTTTGGAAGTATAATCTTTTTCCCCTAAATTTTATTATTCGTTAATGAGTAGCTTCCGATATGTTACCCAAACGACTTGGTCAGTTCAATTCGGATCCAATTTGGCGCAATCGTAATGGAACATTAATGCCGAGAACAAAAACTGGAACCCTTAAATCCCACACAGAAAGTCCTTCATATATAAAACCACAATTAATAGATCAACCCAGTTTCAATGGGAAATTAGTAAGTGGATAAGAAACATTATTAATAATCCATTCTTTTTTTCCTACTTTTCAACCTGACTTCACAATTTCCTCTTTGGATTTCGTTTAACAAGGCGATTATAGTTTACTTTCCGCTGTATTATTTTGAAAATGAGTATTAAACTCTTAATGTTGTTTGTTGAAACACATAACTGTAAGTTATAAGTGTATAAAAGAAATATTTAAATAGAGCAAGAACAAACATTGATGCAGAATAGTATGAATTCATATTATTTCGAGGTTTCTCGTCATACTATTCTGCATCAATGTTTGTTCTTGCTCTATTTAAATTCATAAAGGGAACCAATTGCAAGAAATATTTAAGGTAACGAACCAACTGTTCATTGTAGGCTTGAAAAAAAGAAACAACATTCAGGATAAAAGTTTTTTGTGGTGGGTTTCGTTGGGACTTAGATTTTTTAAGTATGCTTTCTGAAAACAGGTGATTATGATCTTATATAGACTATTATCTTGTATTTGTGCAATATCCTATATTCAATTGTCCAGATGTAGTAAAGATTTACTATCAAGTCCATAATTATCTATATATGTTCTCCTCTTGATGGTTAAAGCAAACAATTGCTATCTGAATTAGATCATCATTGATAATAGTTCTTTTTATTTGTGTTAATCGGGGATGTAATTAGTGGTAAAAAAAGTTAACTTTCAACTGTGAAGCTCCAGGTACGAAACCAACTCGATCTATTTCGTCTTAGAAATCTGAGTGTCACCACTAGTATATGCCCACACTGTTGTTTAGAGCTATACACGCAAAGTTGAGGAGTCCCATAATAGGATGGAACGACCGTCCAGTGCTTCCAGGTCTCAATAGTGGTTTAGAATTAATCAATTCATGATCTCGATGAAATTCAACAACCTCCATATCAAACCATCAGTCAATGGTTTTATAAACTGGCCTCATTCGTTTCAAACAAATCAAGCCAATCCTCAATTGGGTAGAAAGTTCATAACAAATATATTCTTATGACATCTCAGTGAGTTAAGAATTGTGTTTCTGACGTTACATAACTTACATTAAGTCACGTAACGTCAGAAACACAATTTTTAACTCATTTGGATATCACAAGAATATATGGCGAGACTCTAATTTATGGACGAGCCAATCAGAGGCGTTTTAGAGATTTCAAGGTTACGGCGCCAACATCAGTGCTTAATGCCAACGTACGATCGGTTTACAGCGAATTTTGTACAAAACGTAATAATTGAGCGGCTATAACAAATAAAACGGCGGGACTATAATTTGTGAACGAATCAATCAGGTATAAGATAATAGATCTCGGATTTTAACGCGAAAGCCTTTCATCTATTTGGCTAAATAAATTTCTGTCATGATAGCTGATGTCAGTTCGTGATGAAAATCCTATATATAATTCCTAACTAAGGCAAGTTGCGACAATTATTGTGATCTGGGTAATAAAGGCACCAGTAACACTGGCTGCAGTCAGGTACTACAATTTATACGGATGTTTGGAGAGCATACAGACTCTTACATAGGCTTGGCTACATGCATCATGTCGTTATCCACAAGTAGTATTTTGTGCACTCAACAACCGGAGTGCACATAAACAATATTGAAGCTATGTGGTTGAGGTTGAAAGAGTATTAGAGACTTTGTCATGGCTCCAGAGGCCGACTATTGTGTAGCCGTATGGATGATCTCCTCTACTGCATTCATCACGATTTTAGAACCTCTGAACCTGTTTCTAACCTTGACAAGTTTTCGAACCATGTATAAGAAATGTATCCATTTTATTTCCTTGGTTTTGTATAACATTATTTTTACTCTGTACTGACTGTTTGCTAATTGGCTGATATTTCTCAAGGTCGCTTAAGATTCGTTCAAAGGTCGTCCATAAACTAGAGTCTCGCCGAATATATTTATGATTGGTCTTATGTGTTGTTCATCTAGCCTTCTTTCAACCTACTTTGTACCGAATAATATAAAATGCTCAAATAGATTCTGGTTTGGCTTGGAACCATAAAATGTCTGAATCATAATGGAACCAACCAACCTTATTTTCATATAATCCATTGTTATTTGATTGAAATACATACATTATATATAATATTCAATATTATTAGCTAGTATCTCTGTCATCCATCACTCTAGAGATTCAAATTTACCCTTAAGCCTAACTCGACAATTGTTATTTACTAAATATCATGATTTTCAGTTTTATGAAGAATATCTTAGCCATAAAGAAATATTGTTTAGTTGGTCGATCATAAAGATGTTCTTCGTCACAAACTAACTTAAGCTGGAGACCCATTGAACATCAAGGACCACCAGACATCTATTTCGTCCCATGTTGAGACTCATCAGTAGTTTGAGTCCGTAACCAAATCAATAATCAAACTTAGGACCTTTAGGGTACTGATTGGGAACTCAAATGTACACATATCCAGCTTAGTCACTGACACCAGACCTCTGAGTTGTAAGTTCTTCGATTGATTTCAATCTATGGCACAAATTATTTCGTAATGATTATTTTCTTTTGGTTTCTGATTGACTGTTGCATTGATACTTTTTTCTCAATTCTATTGGTCGGTTTTATTAAAAACTTAATGAAAGTTTTAGCATTATTATTAACTGTTAGTCAGTACTAACAACAATTCTTAGCTGTAAACCCTATTATAATTCTACTTGAAATATTAATGCCTAAATAATAAGTTCTATTTATAATCCTAATGATTCTAACTTACGCCGAGACAGTTTATAACAATTCACACTTTTTAAGCTAAACCGACAATAGTATCTCAAGAAAGTGTTAGTCACGTTTTGGTGTTCTGAGAAACAATGCACTAAAAGTGATAATATGACATGTTTATTGATTACATTCTCTAGTCAGTGGCATTCAACTTTTAACTGGTTAATCAATGGTCCAAACTCGTCTAGCTGCATTTCAATTGGAGCTGCTCGATAATAAAACCAGCTGTCGTACAGAAACGTGTGTATCAAAGTCGAGCATATAGATATAGACTGGGAGTTGTTGATAATTATAGAATAAGCTGCAACTACTTTTCTTTTAGCAATGCTGATTATACAAATTTTCATTGCGGCTCTTCACTTTAACCTTTAATTTCTATCCATCAATTTGTTCTTAAGGGCTTGTGTTTTAACGTTGTTGATATTCAGGAATAAGTTTTTATTGATCTCTGTTGCCATTTGCGTATCTCGAGTGGGTGCCTTAATATTGGCTGTGTGAGCACTAACATGGAGATGTAGGTACATTCAGCTGACGAGTTTCAAAATAGAATGAAACCTGTGTTCTAGATTCTACTGATAACCACATTCAAAAAATATGATTTACCTACCAATGTTTCAAGATATCTTTCATCTTCAAAATAACACATTAAGGTAATCAACGAAGTTACCACGTGTCTATTGAGAGTTACGTCATTTTTTCCTTTGTTTTTAGACATTCTTTCACGTCCTTTATTTCATGTAACAGTATATTTTCTCATACTTTAATTACAGTCTTTATTCATCGAAATCCTTTTTTAATACCATTCTAACATGTATGCATCATGGCTGTTTCATCTAGCGTTTTCAATTTAAACGAAATCCTTTTCATCTGTGTAAAAGCTTACATTATATGCTTAGTATTAAATTACTTATAATTGATACTACTCAATGCTAATCTAAATGTTGTTCACGATGGATAACTATTTAGTGATAAAATATAGTAATATTACTGTCTTGTCTACCATATAGTTATTTTTTAATTCAATGAATGTTTAAAATAATTTAAAATGTAGCTCATGCTCCTAGTAAAATGGCATATATTCATCTTTTAAACCAGATAATTAATACTATTCAGCTATTCAAAACGAAGATAGAACACAACTTTAACCTACCTCCTAATGTTTAATAGTTATATTCTTCAGTCACTTGAGTCCTTGTTTTATATTTAATGAGATCATTATAACAAATTGCCATCAGTTTTGTAACAACTGGTGACCTGTTTTCTGATTTCTATTAAATGTATAGTGTAATTGACTATTTGTATACAGCCATTCGCCCATCAATTAATTCCAATACACTATCCATATTTAGTTATAATTATTTTACTCAAATAAACTGAAAAGTAGCTGAGATATCGATGCATTTATTCTTTGGAATTCAATTAAAAGTTTTTCTCAACTGCTTTAAAAGCTTGAAATATGGTTAAAATCCAAGTGAAATGATAATATAGTTTAGTGTTTGATGTAAAATACAATTAAACTGTTCATTTTTTAACGAACGCAATTTTTGATTGTTTATTTAATTGCTTGATTGACATGTAGGTTGCTAAGTATGTCAGTTTATTCTCCATCTTATAATCATTTTCTCCTTGGTTTAACCACTTTTTTACCGGTCGCCATCTTCCTTGCTATGTATTCACATTTTAGCGTGCTCGATTTTCTCCGACCTATTTACCTAAAACTCTGTCAGTCAATCCAATTACTTTAAGCTCTGCCAGTGTATCGCCCATAGTTTCGAATTCATCAGGTTATTCTCCTGGTCTTGCTACATCTGCATCAATATTAACTGTTGCTGCAATGAAAAATAGTGGCCGACTCTATGTTCCAGCAGTCCGTTCTTCGCAAACATACGGAACTGGTTCTAATTACACATTCATAAGTAATCAAAAGATGAAGTTGGATCATATTCCATCATCAATGTCCGTAATTCATTCACCTTCTTTTAGTGTTGATGAGAGCATCTCTAGCAGCGTTATAAGTAATAATGTTCTGAGTATTCAACACCAATCACCGGTAATATTATTGGATTTTGTTTTACGTAATTTTATACTCTCAATGTTGTTTACAATGTTCAAATAAAATAAATTAAACCTTTGTTAGGAAAAATGTTCTAGATGATTCTAGTGTTTGTTACTCAATATTGTTCAAGTATTTTGAATGATCCAACTAGCCTAAACCAACTTTTATGTCATTTTTGAGGTTTGTACTCGTGAGTGAAAGCAAAAACAGATATTTATAGGTTTATATTTCAAGTCACATCTCTAGTGGTTGTATTGTACTGAAGAGAAATAACAGTTTAAAGTTTTATTTTTCACCCTATAGATATATCCAGTTGAGACTCACTGAATACAAGACAGGCTACGTAATGGCTCATGTAATCGGACAGTAGATCTCTTAGTCATATGATAAGCACTTGTTTTGGATCTGTGTGGTATGCTGTAGTTGTATTCATATGTGAAACATTTCGAATCCTTCCAAAGTCCATGTGCCGTTTACACAGTATGTGTATCCTACTGCTCTGAAATTCGCTTAATAGTACACATCTATGAAAATATCATTACTGTCGAACTCAAGGTCATATAACTTTTCATACTATTGACTCATATTTCTAGTTTCAATAAAGTAATGTTCTGCATTTTATCATTCATTTCCAACTGTCCTGTTTCATACCGTAATGCAATGAGTTTGCATAAATAAGCTCATTTAATATATGCCAGTTCATTTACTCACCTATAAACCACAATATTCGTATATAAGGAGACTAATGATACTAATAACACTGTAGCACGTGAAATGAAATTCGATTCTGAGACCTGACAATTATAGATCTGGTGCATCGACCATTAAACTACTTTTCTTTTAGTTTGTATTAGATGTTACAGATTTATAGTTAATCGATCACTGAGTAGTAACCAATTTCATGCATTTCAGGTCCTCTTAGAGTAGATAGAATTCTACTAATCAAATTGCAGTGTGGTCACTAGTCTAGATGACTCGAAATCGCGTGCACTATGTAAAGTCTCTTACTGCGAAGCTGAATGACACATGATCTGATTCGCCAAGTAGCATCAGTTCCTTCGAGATAACAGGTACACCTTCATGGTGTGTACCAAGTAGCACGAAACCTATGTCAACCAGGGTTTCTTGTTGACTACTTTCAACTACCACCTTTGATGTTACAACTTAATGGAACTTAAAGCAGTTCCTCATATACTTCTAGTGAGCGATTACATTTCTCAATCTGGAGACTGAGTTTATGTGTATACAATAATAATATCTTTAAGCATTAAGTCTATCCTAACTTAGTCTATCTAAATTGTCAAAATATTGTTTTGAGGTGTAGTTTGATAAGTATTATTTTTTATTACTATCATTATCAGTCCAATGGTTTCATTTTAATATTGTTTAATGTAACCCTAAATCACTAAGAAATGAACTGTCTTTGAGTATTCTAACAGAGAGTGCGAAGGTGGCCTACTCCATAGAATTGGATGAGGGTTCAAAACATTGGAAACTATGGGACAATAAAGAGCAATTGTTTGATCATCTTAATTTAAGAGTTTAGTGCGCAGTCGTGACTGGGTGGAATTCAACCATGTCTGTTGTAAGACAGTCATCATCAATCTAATCGACCAATAGTTGTACTATACTTTAAAATTAACGGAGTTCAAAAGTGTGAGACATCGGGTTAAAATTCAGTATTATAAGCAACTATGATCACTGTAAAACCTGAATATCTTATGTTTTATTCTTGGCTGATTTGTCGGTGCATGTTTCTTTTACTGGGAAAGTCAAACCTAGTTCAATAACGTTTAATCACTTAAACCAGTGATTTCATATCAACATGGTCAATTGAATTTGACAAGCACTTCAAACTCAACATTGACACTGAGTAGATACAAATTAGCGATCAATTAGTTGTGTTTAACTATTAATTTAAGTTGATACAAAAATCATTCAATGAGTATTTATTAAATGTTGACTGCAATTTTCGTATATTTTCTTGATTTCCGTAATTCATTACACTTTCATATTTACATCAACGTACATGAATATAAGTCAACATCAAGTCGATCTCTCATCAATTCTCCCGATGAAAGTTATGCTACTACAGGTGGTCGTCATTATCGTATTCCAACAAGATTATCTCCTAGTTCCAATCGTTCTAAAGCACTACATCTTTATGAATTGGATTACGATAAAAATAATGATAGTTTATCTGTTGAGTCAAATCCTGCAATACAAAAATCCTCACAACGACCTTTATCAAGATTTACACAGAATAAAGAAATTATTATTAACCGAACAAATGTTGGTAAGATTTTTTTCTTAAGTAATATTCCACAATTATGTACAATCCGTAATAACTGTAGCTGAATTATCAGTAATAAGAATACACAACTGTTTATTCGAGAGCCTTGATGGGAATTTTAGCTGAACGAAGATTACTTATGAAAATTAAATTACCGTTCGAAATCACCCTCTCCTTCATCCTATGTGGGCAAAATTCAAAAACTAAATGAACTAACTGACAACTGAGTTCTACTCAAAATAAAGATGAGGTGTCTGAAAGCCATTGAATACTTAACCATTTCGACATAAGTTCACTAGCACATAAATATATTCGTCGATTTTATCAAAACTAAGTAATCCAACTAGTTCATTACCAAAACTATTTAATAGTTTGCTATTCGATCACGTATTTCATGATTATAGAAATTTATTATTGATCCATATATTTCTATTGAAATAACTGAATAACACGGATACCCTGAATAGAAATCCACATCAATTCTTACCTATTATTCGATAAATAAACATACCTAGGCGAACCAAGTTTCATTCTAAAGTAAGGCGATGGCTCAATTTTTAAAACTTTGGCTATTAATTATTGGATAACAATTCAAGCTATATACATATACTTCAGTTTAGATGGCTGCTACGTGACATAAATACTTCACACACACAAATGTGATTGAAAGTCGAGTACACTGAACTTTTATTGATTTTAGCGTAAGACTACTTCATAATTTTGAATTGTTCTGTATTTGCTTACTTTTGAAACTTCATAGGGTATAGTAGCGGTATAACACAAAAACCGGATATCCCCATCATTTTAACAACTTCATCAATGACACCGTCATCACGAATAAATCGGTGGACAAGTGAACAAATTTTATCAGTCAATGTGAATCGTCGCTCATCAACTACTAGTTCTGAGATAAGTCTTGAACAACCATGGCAGAAACGTGAAAAGTCTCCGTTAAAAATTGAGCAAAAAACAGTTAACAAAGGTGATTATTCTAGCACTGGTATAAATTCTTCCGTTGATGGTGTAATAACCAGATTAGACGAAACATTAATGCCTCCTGCATTGTCAACAACAGCCAACAAATGGAATATACCTAATCATTCCAATTATCCAACTGTTGTTAACTCTAATTTTCCCATAAATTCATCAATCTATTCTCCAACCAGTCCTAATTTATCAACTGAATCACAAGATACAAAATGTTCACAAACTGTACTTACCTCATCATCAGCATCATTGTCGCCAGTAACCAAATCAATTCAAATTATTCGCTCGCAATATGATAAAAATGATAAGAGCGGTGTAGATGGTTACTATCGTTTTAATGTTTCCATGAAGAAACCATATCTGGAATCAGTACAAGTAAGTATGCTTTCTATTTGTTTCATCATATTACACTTATAAATATTTATGTGATTCTGTGTAGTAATTTAACCATTACAAAAGCATAATACCTTAAACAGGTTCGGTCAACCAGAAAACTACAATTAGGAATATCTTGACTGGTATACCGTGATTTGTCTGACAGCTTAATAACCTATCCGATACCTAGACTGCGCAACAGCCTAGAAAACTTCTACCTAATTGGCATATAAAATAAAATGGTAATATCTAGAAAAAGCTATTACCAACATGTATGTTTATGTAATTGCCAATTTTCTATGGTAAAATGTTTTTTTTTCTAATATAAAATATTCTAGTTCAACTATGAATCATAAACCAATCGGAACGGAGAAACTGTCACCTTAGCGATAATCAACCAATCATGTTGGTGTATTTAGTTCCCTCAAATTAATATAGAATATCAGACCATTGTTCTCAGACCACAACTAAATATCATCAAATTGACGGAACTTATTATACTCAGAAAGAATATAAAGTTATGAATTACTTGGCATACTCATACGGTGCAAAATACTCTAAAATTACCATGCCATAATAACATTTACGAATTAATTTTTTTTAAAGGCATAATATTAATCATATTTATAAATTTTGCCCTCAGATAACTGTTCTGTATGTGAAAAGAAAGCATGTATAATCCCGTTTTCGCTAGTTGAGTATATTTTAACCAATTTCGTTGTGTTTTTTTGTTAATTTTTAATTATCACCAAACAGGATACAAGCGTTTACCCGATACTTATTTAGTTAATGTGACTTGTGTTAAACAAATATCATAATATTAATCTGTCACCACTCAAAAATTTGTTCGAACAAAATAAGTGCTAAAATAGGGTTCACTTTCTAGTCTGTTACTCTATGTTTGTTCGGATAGAATTGTTGTTAAACAACTATTTAATAGTCACAACTACAACATCCCTTTTGATCTATTAATTATTATAGCATTTAGCAATGTTGTTATAAAATGCGGAAAATGACCGAACCAATGCGCGCCATCAATCCATGAAGACACTGATTGTTGGTCTGAACCTTGTAGGTGGATGTAAACTACCTGGTTGTAATTCGCATGATAACCGCAGTCAGTGGTTGCAAATATTGAATGACATGGCTGAGAGTCGGTCACAGTGGCACAGGTGCACTCGCCCTATATTTCTCTCTAGATCTAAATTTCCAGTATCCCCCCATACAAACCTTTTCACTTCTTCTCGAAAGAAATTGTCTCAATTCTCTGTTTTTCTCGCTATCGTTATTACTAATAAAATTGTTCATTATGTTAATTTCATTTATTTGTGTTAATATGATATGAAAACTTGTACTAAGGTGCACTTCTCCCAAGCTGTGCGTTGATCTATCACTAACTTACAAAATGTGCTAGTCATACACTTTTTGAGATGTATAAAAATCTTTTATGTGACCATCCACCATCTGATATCGTAATTCACGATTTTAGTAAATGGTGATTTGTATGAAGTACTTATTGACATTGACAGATTCGTTGTTATTGAAATAGAAGGCAACACATTTCGCAGCGTTTCGTTTTGTCAATATGGAGCCTCGATACCATTCAATTTATTATGTTCTTTAAGGTATTTTTGATAAGTCAACTTGTAATATTATGTACACATTCCATAATGTTTTATTTTAGCTAATCTATAACTTTCTCCCTATTTTGTTTATTTAGCCAATAAATGACTATGTACGTCGTATACCATCAGTACCAAGGTCAAAAATAATCATAAAACCAACTGAGATCATTATGCCTGATCCAAAACCAGTTTCTAAAGATGTTAATAAAAAAGTAATTACAATTCAGTCATCGAATTAATCCGTACCGTTCTTTAATGGTAAATGGTCACATAGTTAATTCAACAACAATGTAATGTGGGTTATTATCCTGAAAACATTCAATTTGACGTCTTATAAATTACTTTACTATACAACATTCCTTATATATATACTCCAATAAAAAACATGTTTATTTTGTTATCTATTTATTTTTCTGTATACACTCTACTGAAAATTATGCTCATTTATTGTTTTTGCACAAGCATATTGTGATATCTTGTGGATTACAACAATATTAATTGAATTCGGTGTTAATGACATACAACATCTGTAAATTCTTTTACTCCCTGTTGAATAAAACCGATTCGTATGTGGAACTCACTCACAGAAGACAAAGCTGGGCAAATGGGTAGAGAGAGAAGTATAATATTTCAACGATAGAGAGAAAAGAATCCTTTAATCCAATTATATTACCTTTCTTCCCACACTATTTTGATATGGTATTTACTTAGAATGTTAAATAGTTATAGTGCTTATGAGAAATGCATGGAGGAATTTCTTCCTAATGAATTTACTATTATTTGTAGTAAATGAGTGCTCAATTAAAAAACAATCCGCTTATTAGTAGTGAAATGAATCTTACTCATCGATATTTTCTTATTAGTCTTTGTTGTTGATGATGAAATTTTTACGTTCTATTTCCTGTCATTTATTTTCCTCCTCTTCTGAATATTATTCTTGCCCCTCTCATCTACCAGTACTATCCACGCAATTCTCTTGATATTTTGTCTTTTCACTTACTGATTTCTATTTTGTAGGTTATCTTTCATTCTAAATATCTTGTATTTTTCATTATAACAACAGCAGTATAAATGTTGATCTTCTACTCATTGTGTATAATACATCAATTTACTGTGATTCTTTTACTTGTCGAACTAAATAAAACGATAACATTCATCAATTCATTATTGGCGTTCTCTATCATTTAGTCAATGTTTCTCCGTATCCATGTGATATAAATAATGGTGAATTTGTTCGAAATATTGTAGTTGATAATAATTACCTTAGATGATATGTTTGAAACCGTTTTCTTTATGTACTTTGGTTTGGGCAAATCTCATGTACAATAGTATAACTCAATGTCATTTGTTTAAAACTTTACTTCGTTACTGATTCGAACACTTGCCATCTTTTCATATTTTGTTATCGTTATTTATATATTGATTGGTAACCACAATGACTGAATTCCGCACGAATACATATTGTGCATATATGTTTACATATGTTCTCATGCACTCGGTTTTTGTACATTTAGAACTATTCGTACTCAACTAAAATTAAAACTATGATATTATTATTATAGTTTAGTATTCATTGTTATCTATGCAATTTATATCCTTATTTATTCTATTCATCATGTCAAACAGTATGATTTAATATAATATCCCTTAGTCTTTTAAGAAATTTTATGTATTTATCTGCTTATAGTGTGTTTCAATACTACCTGTTATTCAATAGATGCATTAAAATAATGAACACACACATGTTAGCTTATTTTCGTGTTAGTAAATTTTCAATTCTATTGTAACCCTGACAATTACAATCATGGTAGATTGACTCATGTTTACAAAGCCACAAACTACAATCATTGATTAACATAAATAAAAGTGTTGGGGATTATTCATTTGTTTGTTGATAACTGAAAAGAAAAGTATCGTTATTTTTATTTTCCTAATTTTTGTTCTTTCTTCTTCAAAAATACAGTAAACTAATAATTTCTCTTTTATGCTATTCTATTAGACTTAATAAATAGATAAATGATCCAATGGTTCAAATAATCAATCCTTAATTATTAATTGATGATATTTGGAATTATTAAAATCAGATAAGTGTAATTTATATTTTTAAAGAAGAAAAAAAAAGTAAATATATTTATGCTTCCTGTTAAATGATTGTTTATTTAGAAATAGAGAATTGAAAAGAATGGATATCTAATTCACGATTACGACGAAATGTCAATAATGCATATTTGATCATAAACTGTGTAATTTTCCACTTTATAATTAATGAATTGGAATGTGAGACAACTATCATATACAACTGACTTCTTTATATTATTATATGATTGTTTGAACAACATGAATTCTGTTAGCAAATTAATTTACGCGTTCATATGGTTGATTAAAGAATACTCTTTCGTAAATATAAGATATATAGGGGATACTATAGCAAAGATCCAAAAGAAAAATATTGGAAAGAAACGTTATATTTTACTTATCTTTTAAACGTAGGCCGACTGAAAGAAAAACAATATAAGGTTATGTTGAGAAGAAGAAACTCTTTATTTGCATTCTTTTGATCCCATGCAGTGAACTCATCTTCAAGCACTACTTTGTTTGGCTGTCAAAATATAGGTCAATCCACAGATAAATTTCGAGGCGCATCATTGTACTTCCTCTTCAAAACCAGTCATGATAATATAGATGAACTACTCAGTCAGTCAGTCAGCTACAACGTAGGACCAGGCACATATGTGCATCGGTCCAGGTTGCCATACCGCATCAGCACAACAAGATGAACACCGGATTCATAGCAGTGGTTAGGTCAAAGGTAGTAATATGTAAGAGAAAGATTGCATATAGAGATATAGTACAAGAAGAAAGAATTGGTTCGTAGAAAGAAAGGAATGAAGTGATTTTAATCTCTTAGTTTAAGAGAAGACAGGGAGTGTATACACCGACGCCATTGTGATCGATTCTGAGCCATGTCACCAAGAGTCTCCAACCATTGGTTATGATAGTAACGTAGACCCCAACCAAATAGTCTGCATCTTCCAACATGGATCAGACTAGAAGTTAGTGACTTCAAGCACTAATGCCACGTTTTTGTTTGGCTGCCCCTAGATTTCTTCCAACCATGTTCAACATCGGTTAGCATTGCACGTCGTGGTAATCGGTGTTCAGGCATACGTAACACGTGGCCCAACCATCTCAGTCGATGAAGATTCATAACCTCATCAACTGATTTACCATCATTCCCTAATACCCTACTACTATGAAGTATGAATAGAAAACCTATGCACCTCATGGACTAGCAATCCCCCTATTTAAGCCTGAACTATGCTTAATCTATCATTTAATCCCCCTAATATTCGACATTTGAAAATTATCTTTTACTAGCATTTGGTGATGCTTCCCATCTGCTGAGCAATTGTTGTTAGCACCTTCAAACTTTTTTATCAATGTCATGATTACTCCATTATTTTTATGTTCGTCAAGTTGACACTTATCTTGCATACGTCTCATTTATGTTTCTTACAATTCACTTTACAAAAAACGTTGAACAAACATGTAAATTTATTCTGATACTTGAAATTTCATAGCACTTTATAGAAATTATTGTTTTGTTTCCAAATAATGTTCTACATATATTAAATAATTAAGCACAATTATATACCGTTAAGAATGGCTATCGCTGGAGTAAAAGCTTTCCTTGCCGATTAGTCGGAATTTTTTGTATCGATGACAACAAATTCCTTTCGTTCTATAAATTTCACCATAATAATATATATTATCGGTAATCACTAGGTTAAATTTGATACGGTTATACGAGAAATGCATTTGTTTAAAGCTATTTGAATTACGATATTAAAATTACATTGAAATTAGCTCTTTAACTAAACCTATTTTGTATGCTAAAAATCATACAGAAAAGTTTAAAAAGTATTTTTTTATTATTAATGGCTTTATTCAATATTACATTTTGGTACAATATAGAAATTCTCAGCACAGGGTATTTCAACAAGTTTCTGACACACAAAAAACAGAAACGAAGACAAAAAAAGGTTTTAAAAAATCTGAAAAACTGCACAACTTTTCAGATTAGAGACATGTTAAGAATGCAGGTTATTGACTAGGTCAACTCTAACAACCTGTTCGTCACAGAGTATATTTGTTAGGTAAGGTATTATAGAACATTTATACTTTTGCTTGCGTGCATGGATCTTAATGTAATTACGTCTCGTTCTACCAGAAGATATACAAGGAGAAAGATAAGAGTGAAGGGGATGGCTAGTATCTGATAAAATAACACCTGCCAGGAGTTTGCATGATTTTAGATGTCTATCCACAACCATATTAATTATGACCTAGAAAGATTCACCACACATCTTGCTAACTGCCTTCAGCACTCTCTTCAATACAGCAAAGTCTTTTCTCAAAAGCCCGGGAAAGAATAATGGAGAACAGTAAAAAATAATAGGTAATATGCAAGAATTGACAAATTGTAAAAGACGAGTAATTCCAAGAGCATGCAATCTCTTTACGTAGTAGGTCAGACGGAAAACCTTTGATAACAATAAAACATGGGAAGACCAAGACAGATCAGAGGAAAAGGTGACACCAAGATAATTGACCTTCGACACTGTATATCAAAGAGTCTCCGATGGAACAAGCATTATGGGATCCCAAGGTGATGTTTAGATGGCGTTCATGTCTCATGCTAAAGTTAACAGCTTGGCATTTAGACGGATTAAGTATGAGACCATTACCAACAATCAATATGAGACAAACTCATTCATTTCTATGGGATGTAAAGAGGAAGAGATAGGCATACATACAGTGAGATCATCCGCATATTTCACAAAAGTGTTTTCTGTGGAAGATGGCAGATCATGCAGAAAAAAAGAGAAAAGAAGAGGTAAGAGAACAGTTCCTTGTGGTACACCTTCATGAGACAGTAGAGACTCTGAGCACTTTCCATCAAATACATTGTACTGTCCCCTTCCAGAGAGGTAGGAACATAGCCAGTTGGTTATCCAGCTACCAGTGTTGACGCTGATTAACTTGTTAATTAAACGTTGTCTTGGTATAGAATCAAAAGCTGAAGTATAGTCCAGAAAAGCGCATCGAACATAATTCTTACCCTTTTCTAAGTTGAACACTATATTGTGATGCAGAACAGCAACAGATTACCCCGTAATCTACGGTAAGATAACGGAAATAAGTTGAGGTGTCTCAGTCTGTCTGCATAAGATAGACAAGCTAGACCTTGTACCATCTTAGTAGCTCGTCGTTGGACTCTTTCCAGCATCTCCGCTTCATATTTGAAACAAGGATTCGCTGCTTGAATCCCATATTCTAAATGTGGTCGCACATAAATAGGGTATAACAATCTAAACATTTCATCATCTAAATACTGGAAAGACCTACGAATAGACCATTATACCCTTTCGCAGCAGCAGCCTTACAGTGATTAGTGGTTTTGAGACCACTGCTTAATATGACTCCTAATTTTTTATAGTTTCTTACTTTGGATAGCACGAATCCCTATATTGTATCGTGATACGATTCATCATAGTTATTTAATTGCATCACCACACTCTTATTAGGATTTACCTCTAGTGACTTCCTGTCCAACCATGCCACCAATGAGCTAAGATCATTCTGTAATACTGTTCTATCCGACATACTGTGTATGGGTCTCCAAATCTTTATGTCATCAGCGAAGAGTAGAACGGATGATTTTGCTACAGTTGGTAATTCATTTACATAAAGTAAAAGGGGAAGAGGATCGAGGATTGTACCTTGTGGAACTCCACTTTTTACGGGTACTCACGACGAGAGAGCCCCATTAACCCTTACCCTTTGTCTCCTGTCATGGAGAAAGTTACTTATCCAATCTACGACTGTATAATGGATTCCAAAACGTTCCAGTTTGAATTTAAGACAAGAATGGGAAACTTTATCGAAGGCCTTACTTAGATCTATGAAGATCATATCCACAGGAATATTCTGATCTTTTGCAGCAGCCCAATCTTCTCTTGCAATGAGAAGATTTGTCAATCATGATAGGGCTTTCCGAAAACCATGTTGTTCCCTGGAGAAAAGATTATGCTTCTCAACATAGTTTATAACAGATATCCGAATGATTTCTTCCATCAGTTTTACAACTGCACTAGTTAAGCTAACGGGCCTATAGTAACTAACTAAATCCCTACTCCCAGCCTTATTATAGCGTTTTTCCAGTCTCTGGGCAGTCTGGACATGTCAAGCAGTTTCGCTAATGGTTCAGCAATTACATCTAATATGGCTTTCATAATCCTAGGATGAATATCATCAGAACCACTGGACTTATCAAGTTAGAGATGATGAAGTAGCCTTAAAACAGTACCTTGCTCAATGACTACAGGGTCTATCAGCGAGCCGCCGAGATCACAATTAATCGTTGGTCGTTCCTCATTACCGATAGAAAACACTTTACTGAAATATTCCGACAAAGCTTCAGCTTTTTCGGTATCGTTTCTTGCCAAGATTAACGGATATTCTTGTATCAAAATTGATGGAATTCCATTGCTTCTCTGAGTTTGCCTTTTTCTATACATGAATAACCGTACAACAGAGAAGAACCTTGGTTAGCACCAAAACGTGTGGGTTTGGATACATGTTCCACTAACGCATGCTCCATTATTGTTATCAGGAACCTCCTATCAAAGGAGTTTATAGATCCTTCCGTGGTCATCTCAGTCCAACTAATATCAGGTGCATTAAAGTCTCCTATTATCAAGCACCTGTTATTTGCACTCCATAGTTGAATATGCTCTAAAATAAAGTCATCAGCTAAGTAGATTAGGCTGCGATAGATGACACCGAGCATACATGTAATACATCCGATAGCCAATTTACAGCTAATGATTTCACAAGTACCGCTGTCATGGGATTCGCTAGAAAAGGAGCGGATATTTATATTATTGGCTATATATAAAAGGAGGCCACCTTTTCTACATCTATGTCTATCACTCCTTAGGTAATGGTAACCCGATATTTCTGGAGTAATGTCTAAGTCATGGACTAACCAAGTTTCTGTCACTGCTACAATGAGTGGCATTAATTTGTCCACCAGTTCTTCTGGTTCATAGAACTTATTTCTTAGACCACGAGCGTTAGC